ATTTAAAAAAAAATAACATCATAGTCAATTAAAATGGAAAAAACTGGACTGTTGTTTAAGAATCGTTTATGGAGGCTCGGTGCCTGTGGTTCAAGAGGCTAAGGTGCCAGCCACATACACCTAAGGTGGCGGGTTCGAATCCCCAGCCCGCGCCCAACAAACAATGATGGCTGCAACCAAAAAAAAGCCAGGCGTTGTGGCGGGCGCCTGTAGTCCCAGCTACTTGGGAAGTGGAGGCAGGAAACTCACTTGAGCCCAGGAATTGGAGGTTGCTATGAGCCCTGATGCCACAGCATTCTACCCAGGCGACAGCTTGAGGCTCTGTCTCAAAAAAAAAAAAAAAATACTGAATGTCCTCTCAGCTGCTCTCTATCTTTTAGGGTCCAGCATGCCCAGAACTCAAATATTTGATTTCATTAATATAAACTTTCTCAACAAGATGCACCAAAAGGTGGCTGATTAAGGATTTAGAGTCGCAGTAAAATCTATTTATTCTATTATGAATAACTATTGAATAATTTATATATGTATGTAAACTATTCAGCGTATATACTTATACATAGAATAAATTTTACATCTAAAAGAGAGAATTCCAGACTCTCCAAGAACTCTCCCATTTCAGATAAGCTTTCTGAATTGTTTTTGTTTAATGAACGAATATGTTTTATGAAAATCAAAGTATTCAGTTTTTTAAGATTTACATACTTAATATACTTAACTCTTTTTAGAGGTCTGGAACTGAACGATTAAATTGTTAAAGCTTTTTTTTTTTTGGACACAGAGTCTCTCCTGACTAAAGAGCAGTGGTGTCACTCACTGCAACCTTAAACTCCTGGGCCAAGTAATCAGCCTCCCAAATAGCGGTGACTACAGGAGTGTGCCATGCCCGGGTAAGACTAAAGCTTCTATTTGTGATACAGGCTTGGGGGCTCACAAAAACAAAATAGTAATGTCAAGAAGATTGTCTCCCATGAAAATAACAGGAGCTGAAAACATGTTGACAGAGCCTAAACTCAAGAGTGTTGAGCTATGAGGATATTAAGATTCATAACGGTGAAACAGTCAAAGGTTAATGCAGAATTTGAAACGCCGGGGAAATAAAGAATCTTCCTAGCTGAAGGCAGAGAAAAGGGGGGTTGGGGGGCTGGTGATACCAGGGTAAGCAGCAGCGGGGAAGAGGCAGTAAAACTGAGACTAGATGCTCACAATCTCTGGCAACCAGGAAAAGGCAAATATAAACAAAGAGAGGTGAGTGACAATGCCTGATGTTTTGGGGATCAGGAGATACCGGCAGGTTGCTGCAACACAGCCTCCCGGTCCAAGTGGTAACTGGGGAGCTGAGCTCTGCAGTGACGCGCGTCCCTCACGTGACCAGGAGCCTATGTCTGCCCAAATCCCTCTCGTCCTACTCCTTTCTGCCTGCCCAGACACCGTCTCCCTGTTACCCTTCGGTGGAGAGGGAAAGCAGAGGAAGTAAGTTCCCTCCATCCTCTTAAATCGTTGTGTCAGCGCTGCCTAGTAACCCTTGGGATTGGATCGGGATGGCAGAGTCTAGACCTTTCCCTGTGTTCCAGCCCCACCCCCCGCGCCCACATTTCAGTGCAGAAAATGGTGGTCTGGGAGGCAAGGTGGGGAGGTGAGTGAGGCCCCCCTGGGAGGGAAGCACAGGCACTTGAAAACAGTTTCTAAGTAATGCTTCGATTCCACTTTCCACCTGAAGAGAAATGACGAGCTTTGTGGAGAAAAAGAGGTGGGAACACAGAGGACAAGGCTTGATGTGGGTTGTGAGGGGGGAGGAGAACCCAAAGACCGCAGGCGTTGGGTGAACGACTCGTGCCCAGAAAGGTGATGGTGTCAGTCCGTCCCTCCACCCCATTCCCTGCACCCTACCCTGTCTTGCGTCTGTCTGCAGGTCACAGCGGGTCACCTCGAGGAGAGAACGACTAGGAGGAGCACACAGCCTGAAGAGGTCCAGGTCGGGGAAGGGGTGGGCAGTGAACCGGGACTGGGGTATTAGGGAGGACGCCGACTATAATAGAGTGCGGACCCCACCGCCCCGCCCCTATCGCTGCAGGCGAGGCCTACTGCAAGGCCTGCTGGGAAAATGGTGGGCTCTCTGGGAGGAGGGGGCGACTAAGGGGCGGCTGCTACCAAGAGCTGGAGAGCCTCGTGGCAAGCGCAGGTTTGAGGACCTGGAATGCGAATTGGGAAAAGGCAAGTATTGGAACCCATGGTCTGGGGGTTGGTCCAGCCGCTTAGCATTCTGACTGTACTCTACCTTTCTTGTCTCCTAAGAATAACTGCTTGAAGAAGAAAATTCCCAGCATGGAAAAATCATCCAAAGAAAATGAAGAACAGCCACAGAGTGCGCCAAAGACGGATGAGGAGCGGCCTCCAGAGGAGCACTGTCTCGGAAAGCAGTCTCCTGACGAGCAGTCCTCAGAGGAGCAGTCCTCTGAGGAGGAGTTCTTTCCAGAGGAGCTCCTTCCTGAGCTCCTGCCTGAGATGCTCCTTTCAGAGGAGCGCCCCCCGCAGGAGCGCCTTTCCAGGAAGGATTTGTTTGAGCAGCGCCCTCCCATGGAGCAGCCTCCCTGTGGAGTGGGAAAACATAAGCTAGAAGAAGGAAGCTTTAAGGAGAGGCTGGCTCGTTCTCGCCCACAATTTAGAGGGGACATACATGGCAGAAATTTAAGCAATGAAGAGATGATACAGGCAGCAGATGATCTAGAAGAAATGAAAAGAGTAAGAAATAAATTGATGATAATGCATTGGAAGGCAAAACGGAGCCGCCCTTACCCTATTTAATCTGTTCGGCCTTCAATTCTGTTTTGTCTGCTGATTTTATTGCCACCTGAGCTTTCTGTTTGCATTTTTTTATATGCGTTTTCCCAGCTGCTTAATTTTAACTTTTTGTGTGGCTTTATTTCAGGTGATTGGCTTTTAATTGTCATAAAGTTTTGGTTTTTTACCCCCTATAGTCTGCAGTCTCCCTCTTTCAATCAGGAGTCCCACCCTTTGCATGGAAAGATGTAAATTATACGTTGTGAAGTGAAAATAATTTTTTTTCAAATGGTATATATAGTATACGTTTTGTAATAAATAATTATATATTAATATGCAGAGAAAAACTAAAAGTATTTACTTTAAAGGGTTAATAATAGCTATCTGTGTGGTAAAATAATAGGTGATTTTTTTTAAATTTTGCTTTATCTGAATTTCTCATTTTGTCAAGATGAACACACTTTCCTTGGGTTACAAATAAACCCAATATAATGAAAAGATGTGAAGCAATTTTGAAAAAAACTGTCAGCGTATTATAGAGACAGTGTGGCACTTAATAAATACTCATCAGAACTTAAAAGCAAATACTGTGTTTCTTTTCAATCTCTTGGGCAGAAATATAAACCAAAATTTTATTAGATTTGTTTAGGGTCATTCTTATCCCATTTAAATAGGAATAATACTGGCTTTACAGTTCTTCTGTGGAACCAAATAAGAAAAAGATGATGTGAGCCATATTTGTTTTTTTTTCCCACCAGCACATGCTAGACCCCAAACCCTACAGCTTCTCTGCAAACACAGTGGTAGTGCCCAAAGGAGATCTCACTTCTGCACACAATTCCTGTGAGAGTCCAAGTGAGTGTCACATTTTATTCTTGTTCTGTACACCTTCAGACACTGCCATTTCTGCTAGGCCCAGCTGCCCCTTCTGGAACCTGCTCCTTTTACTGGCCCCCATTGCTGCTAAGATGCAAAGCCTCACTGATTACTCTAGAATCCAGTAGGTCAAAGCTAACTAAACTGTATCTCCTACAGATAAATGGAGAATGTCTCCATTTCAGCTTTCATTTTACACTTACCCAAGTGGATACCATCCCAATGCTGCTTAGATATCAATGTCTTTTTTTTTTTTTTTTT